CCCAAATAAAGTGATAACACTACTGCTATATCAATAGACAGAGTTGTTCACCATACATTAGGTTTCGTTCTTTTATAAAGAATGGATTTCCACCAATTTGTACGCAGTTTTATCAATCATAAAATAAAAGTCATCAGAATATGTGACTTTTAATACATTTCTCACATTGAAAACATTAACACTTTCATTTCAATGGAGAACCGATTATATCGATAGTGGAATTTGTAATCGATAATCAGAATTGGAAAGGTCAAACGGATCAATCTTCAATTATAATCAATCATCAGCCCATCACTACTATATATATTAAATCAGGTTTAACAAATTATTGTGAGGAGAAGGAGCATTATTTTCCATTTGAAAGTTTATGCATTGGTCAGCTTTAACCAGAATACATTACAATAGCTAGTATACAGTGAGAATATGAATTTACAGTTTTCTGTAGCATCAGCAAGGCCTGAACTTAATGGTTCAAAGAATTGTTAGTTCAACCATAAAATCTAAACTTTCTTCCTTATTGAAATCCAGTTGAAAAATGTGAACGTGAATATTTAATTTTAAGACACAAATAAGTTAAGTGATTATATATATGTACATTTGTCATACTGCAAAGAAAAATGTTGTGCGGTGATTGGTCGAATTGCCAAGGTACCTGAAGCTATGTTAGTATCCTTGCCGGGGTACATAAGAGCATGCGCGCCTGTTGTAAGGGAGATAACTCGAAGATTTGAATCGAACACACCGAAGAACGTTCGTCTGCTAATGTCAACAATGAACAAAATGGCGAAACGGTTTGCAAGCCACACGGAGAGTGAAATTGAGACAAAACGGGCGTCACTTATACCTACAAACACAAAGAGAAGTAACAATTCAGCAAGCAAAACCTTCAGAGCATACTTAAGCGAAAAGGAGCAAGACACAGATTTTGAGGACTTCTCGAAGCCAAGATTAGACGAGGCATTGGGTCATTTTTATCTCGATGCAAGGAAACAGGATGGGAGTCTTTACAAGACGACAACGCTTGAACATTTTCGTCTCGGACTTAACAGGTATTTGAAAGCTCCCCCTGTCTCGAAGAAATTTAAAACTGCTGTGTCCGAATTAAAATCAAGTGGGAAAGGAGTAATAAATCACCATGTCATCTGTCCCTAAGATAGAGAAAAAATGTACACGTCGATACACATGTCGGCCGTAACACCGGCAGGTCTGGCCAATATAGTGAAGTTTGACATTAGACTATACTTTTGTAGAAGGGGTTGTGAAAACATGGAAAAAATGACGAAATCAACGTTTAAAGTTAAAACAGACCCAAAAACAAATCTGAAATTTGTGACAAAAGACATTGATGAGTTAACCAAAAATCACCGTGACGACAAGGAACTCTACACCAGACACATGCTAGAAGAACCTAGCTGGTTCGCCGTATTGCCCTGTCAAGTCTTTTGAGAAGTACCTGTCTAAATTGAATCCTAAAAACGACAGATTGTGGCAATTTCCGTTAGATTCGTATTATGACAAGGATTCTGTGTGGTATGCCAACCGTCCCATTGGAAAAGATACACTCAGCAAATTTATGTCCAACAGGAGCCAGAAGTGTAAACTCTCTCAACAATATAAAAACCATTGTATCCACGCTACAGCAGCCACCATTCTCACTCAAAGTAACTTTGCAGCGTCACAAGTTATGGCAATCACCGGTCATAAATCAGTCTCTTCTCTAGCTGTGTACCAACGTGTGTCAGACAATGAAAAAACTTACATGGGCAGGGCCATTCGAGTGGAATCTCTCCGACTGCTGGAAAAGAGAACGTGCCTTCCGTACTGCCTCCCCCTGTAAGACTTGCCCTACCCCCGTCACACCAGAATGTGACGCCAGTTATTTCCAATACGGTAGCTACATGTCCTGATTTTGGTATTAACCCTTCCGGTAACAACCAGGAATTGCCGCCAGATCTACAAGGTCTTCAACTGGAACAGCTGTTTAGTGAAATGTATGACCCGCACATGACATCCACTCAGAGCGTATCGTTTCAGATGATGTCAATGCCCTTGTTTAGTAACTGTCAGATTACCAATCTGAACATTGTGATCAAAAAGTGAAAAATGAAGAAAAAAATCAATCGTTACGAGTTGTTAAGGAACTGAATTATTATTTAATGTTGTTTCAAAACCATATTGTTGACTTATTATAAATTGTTGGAATTATACAAAAATTGTTTTTTCTGTTTTCCCGTACTACCGCCCTACACAGTATCTGTTTTCTGGCAAACACGAGTCCCAACCTATAAATGGCTTTGCAGTATGACAAATTCGTTATACAGGTCTTTGGCAGGGTACATGGTCTCATGTTCGCTGTCAGGACCTTATGTACCCTGAGCCTGTCTTCGGCTCAGGGTACATAAGGTCCTGACAGCGAACATGAGACCATGTACCCTGCCAAAGACCTGTATAACTAATAATGTATCTGCTGGAAATGATAACAGAGAGTCAAGCTTACTGCCACTACATGAACAGATACCAGGACCATGTTTCTCTGTTGAGTGCATGATTTTGGCCAAATGACCTGCCATGGCTGGGGCACAGTACTGTAAGGGGTCAGGGTTGTGGTAAGCAGCTGCTGGCTTTAATCTATAGTGAGGATGCTGTCAGTCTAAAGATTGAAATCAGGAACAGGAATTTTGTTAGATTTTAGCATATAAATGTGTTAAAGTGTTCTTTTGTAAAACAAAAATTATATAGTTATTCAGTAAAACTGTTTGTTTTGAAACTGAAGTCTTCTATAGTGGGTATATAATGTAACACAAGAGGCCCACTGGGTCTGCATCGCTCACCTGGTAATACTCTCACACATGTAACCTTAAAATAAAGCTACAGGAAAAATATCAGTATTTATGATTAAAAGTCATTCAACAGAACCTGTTAAAAGATTTTAAAACATTTCACCCTTGTGACCTTGAAAGTCAAACAAGGTCATTAAGTTGAGCAATTTTATAGCCCTTCATCTCAGGATGCAACTTGCAAAATATCACCACCTTATCCCTTTATTTATTGAAATTAGGTCATTTTAATGTTTACACATATTTGACCAAATGTGACCTTGAAAGTGGGTCAAGATCATTCAAATGAAAAAGCTTTATAGCCCTTCATTCAAGCATGCTACTGGCTAAATGTCAACATCCTGTGCCTCATGGTTATTCAGAAGAAGTTGTTTTAAAGATTTTAACATATTTGACCCCTGTGACCTTAAATATAATTCCAGGTCATTCATTCAGACATACTTTGTAGCCCTTCATCCTAGCATGCTACTGGCCAAATATCAACATCCTGGGCATTTTGGTTATTAAGAAGACGTTTAAAGATTTTGAACATATCTGACCCCTGTGACCTTGAATAAAGCGCAAGGTCATTCATTTGAACAAACTTGGTAGCCCTTCATCTCAGCATGCTACTGGCCGAATATCTTCACCCTTGTCATTTTAGTTTTAACAAATTTGACCCCTGTGACCTTGAATATGGTGAAGGTCATTCATTTGAACAAACTTTGTAGCGCTTCATCCCATCATGCTACTGACCAAATATCACCATACTGGTCCTTTGGTTAGTCAGGAAAATTTGCTTAAAGGGTTTTTAAGACAATTGACCCATGTGACCTTGAATATAAGTGAAGGTCATTGGTTTGAACAAACTTTGTAGCCCTTCATCCCAGCATGCTTCTGGCCAAATATCATCACCCTGGGCATTTTAGTTATTCAGAAGAAGTTGTTTAAAGTTTTTAACATATTTGACCCCTAAGACCTTAAAAATGGGTGAAGCTCATTTATTTGAACAAACTTGGTAGCCTTTCATCCCATTTTGCTTCTGGCCAAATATAATCACCCTAGGCTTTTTGGTTATTCTGAAGAAGTTGTTTAAAGTAAAATATTGATGCCAGATGAAGGACGGACGCCGGACGCTGCACAACGGCATAAACTCACTTTGCCCTTTGGGCCAAGTGAGCTAACAATGTCTATTGATCATCAACCTCGGGTTCAGAATTTTTTTGGAGTATATTAGCCTTCATCCAAAATCTAAAGTGTTGACAAAGAATTTTCTACTTAAAGGTATAGTATGATCTAGTTTGGGGTATTTTGTACAGAAAAAATAGTTTTTCTATTTAAAGTAACAACAATCTTACCCTGGATCCACAATGTCAAAAACTTTCTAAACATTTTCTTCTGGTTGGTAAGTAAGGATTGTAGAAAGGTTCATACAGCACAACCACTTAGCTGGTTGGTAAGTAAGGATTGTAGAAAGGTTCACACAACACAACCACTTAGCTGGTTGGTAAGTTAGGACTGTAGAAAGGTTCATACAGCACAACCACTTAGCTGGTTGGTAAGTAAGGATTGTAGAACATTTCACACAGCACAACCACTTAGCTGGTTGGTAAGTTAGGACTGCAGATAGGTTCATACAGCACAACCACTTAGCTGGTTGGTAAGTTAGGACTGTAGCAAGGTTCATACAGCACAACCACTTAGCTGGGTGGTAAGGAAGGATTGTAGAACATTTCACACAGCACAACCACTTAGCTGGTTGGTAAGTAAGGATTGTAGAACATTTCACACAGCACAACCCCTTAGCTTGTTTGTAAGTTAGGACTGCAGAAAGGTTCATACAGCACAACCACTTCGCTGGTTGGTAAGTAAGGATTGTAGAAAGGTTCACACAACACAACCACTTAGCTGGTTGGTAAGTTAGGATTGTAGAAAGGTTCACACAGCACAACCACCTAGCTGGTTGTGCTAATTGTCTCCTCAATATTTGAACAAATTCTTGAAACAGTGAAAGGAAAATTGAACTGACATACAGATGGGCACACTAAAGCTATGTTTCAATGTTGGGTATAAAAATGTTTATTGAATATCTCAACCACTGAGTCAACCTTTCCCTACATCCAATAGGTCACAATATAGATTTATCTAATCGACCAAAGAATGACGGTACAAGTCCATCCTTACCCCTTCCCTACAACAGCGTGCAATGACCGTGAAGGTCATGGAGGGCACGGTCCACGCCTCCACTGGCTGGAGACGGCTCTGTTCCTGTAACAAAGGTAGACATAAACATAAACAGGTAATAAGTAATTGACACATGACAGCGTTACCTAAGAAATCTGAAACTGTGTATACTGGACACTTCCATACCAACATTTGGCCTTCTCTTCACTACATAACCCATTCACCGCCTGAGGCTATCTTTCTTCTTTTTGGCATCTTCTAAACTTATGTTAAAGAGACTTAAACTGAAACTTCAAATATATTTTATAACTAGAAATTTGATGTATGTCTCCCCTTTAACGATTTAAAAGCTACGGCCCAGACAAGATATTCCTGGAAACTGAGTTTACAATGCTATCATATACTTGCATGCTAAGTTTAAGCAAAATTGGACACAGTGAGGGACCGTTGGCATCACCTTGGCATACACCTTTAAATGTTTGAAACAGACTTTTTTATCTTTGACCTTGAGTAAAAGGCGACAGTGACCAAATGACTCTGCATTGCACATCATCTGTAGATGATGCAGTTATCCTGCAAGTTTCATAAAGATATCTTTAATGGTTTAAAAGCTACAGCAGGGACAAGATGTTCCTGAAAAATGTGCACATATTTGACCTTTGACCTTGGGGTCAAGGTCACAATGACCTTATGAAAGTGCACTTCACATCATCTATGGGTGATGCAGGTATACTTCAAGTTTTATCAAAATATCTCTTTAATGGATTAACAGTTACGACCTGGACAAGATCATATAAGAAGAAAAAGACCGAGAACCCGAACCAGAAGAACCAGGGAAGTTTTTGTTTAAACAGTTAAACCGGTCAGACCACAGTTGTTTGTTTATTAAATAAGGTTGGACCTAGTAATTTGATGCTGCTTTCAGGCGAGCCTTGACATAGCCTTGCAAGGCCCGCATAAACATTTGCAGGTCCGCCAGGATTTATACCTGAAATTGTTACATTTAAAAACGAACAAACTGGTTGTTCCACATAAACGATCAGGACCCAGTACTAATACATTCCAAGAAACCATTATTGCTAGACACTCAGTTTCTCCAATAAACCATTATGTACATAAATATGTAATGGTATTCTGTTTATACAGGTGTCTTTGAACTAAAAGTTTCAGAATCCAGATGTATTGAAATTCAATAAATAACATATTTAATAGCAAACTAATTACAACATGTTTAATAGTACAATAACATGTTTATTCCATATAGTCTTGTCTGAAGATCATACTTGTGTCCAATACCAAGCTGATTTCTTTTTAGTCTTTATACAAACATTCACAAATCCATTTTAAAATGAAATAATAAATTTCTTGGAATGATTTATAGCTTTCATTTTTGAAGGTTATTTCAGATGTCTAGTTATTTTGGTCATCATTTCAGATTTAATACTGTATTTTCAAATCTAATTTTTCAATTTTATCCTTGTGTAATGATGCTGCGATATATATTTTCTCCCCGAGATACTTAATCTCTTGCCTCTCTTCCATCTTACCTGAACAGCCACCATGTACAACACCTCTCCCACGGCCGGCAGTACACCCTGCTTCAGTTTACCGTTCTTCACATTTTCGCGAATCACCTCAGTTAGGATGGTCAAAGTCTAGAAATAGAACAAGATAAGTTAGCTGCAGCAATTTGAATTTGTCTTTTGCAAGCACTTTTGAAATCAGTACTCAGTGCACAGAAAGAAAGCGTACTTTATTGACTTTATTGTTTAATTAATACGAAGCTGATATCTCAGAAAACTGCTGAAGATTTTCAAAATATAAAAGGGACATAACTCTACTAAACATTATTAGTAGATACAAATACAATGTTTATTCATTCAATTTGATAGCCTGGATTTTTTTAAACTATAGAAGCTTTAGAAAATTTATAGATGGTTTTCATGAAAAATTTTATTTTTGGTTCTATCAGAAGCTTAAATTCAAATTGTGAGAGATAAAGTACAGACAGCTGATCAGTGATGTTACACTTGCATTCAAGTGGGGAAATGTTGATCTGTTTTGCATATTTTTAAAACATTTACTTTCTGGTTGAATATAATTCAACTTCATGATAAAAATTATTATTAGAGTTCTTTTGTGAGATACATTTAAGCTGCCAAATAAAACCTTCTAGCATCTGTTTACATCACTAAAAACATTTATCATTGATTTTATGAAATCTCCTTTTAGGTTTACAAAACAACTCAACGATACAGTATTCAGTAATTTTGAAATCATCAACCTTAAGAATTCCTTAATCTCACCTCAGAAACGTTGGTAGCCTCGTCCAGCCCTGCCGTGTTAACAGCCAGCAGACCAATCACACGGGCAGCCTTGGTTTTACTGTTAATACATAGACAAGAACTCTAATTATTTGTGTACACATTCTTTAAGATTGTGTCTGCCTATTGTTCTATGACTGTAGCCTATCCTAACTATAAATACTTTGACTGTAGGTTTTTGTACTATGAAGAGATCTCAACATCAATTGACATCTCTTACATTATATCAATAAACAAAATTTTCTTTGAAATTGATTCTACGATTTTTGTAAGTAACCTGTCCGATCTGTACTAATGTATGCTTGGTAACCTGTCTGAGCTGTACTAGTGTATGCTTGGTAACCTGTCTGACCTGTACTAGTGTATGACTGGTAACCTGTCTGACCTGTACTAGAAGTGTATGACTGGTAACCTGTCTGACCTGTACTAGTGTATGACTGGTAACCTGTCTGACCTGTACTAGTAGTGTATGACTGGTAACCTGTCTGACCTGTACTAGTGTATGACTGGTAACCTGTCTGACCTGTACTAGTAGTGTATGACTGGTAACCTGTCTGACCTGTACTAGTGTATGACTGGTAACCTGTCTGACCTGTACTAGTAGTGTATGACTGGTAACCTGTCTGACCTGTACTAGTGTATGACTGGTAACCTGTCTGACCTGTACTAGTAGTGTATGACTGGTAACCTGTCTGACCTGTACTAGTGTATGACTGGTAACCTGTCTGACCTGTACTAGTAGTGTATGACTGGTAACCTGTCTGACCTGTACTAGTGTATGACTGGTAACCTGTCTGACCTGTACTAGTAGTGTATGACTGGTAACCTGTCTGACCTGTACTAGTGTATGACTGGTAACCTGTCTGACCTGTACTAGTAGTGTATGACTGGTAACCTGTCTGACCTGTACTAGTGTATGACTGGTAACCTGTCTGACCTGTACTAGTAGTGTATGACTGGTAACCTGTCTGACCTGTACTAGTGTATGACTGGTAACCTGTCTGACCTGTACTAGTAGTGTATGACTGGTAACCTGTCTGACCTGTACTAGTGTATGACTGGTAACCTGTCTGACCTGTACTAGTAGTGTATGACTGGTAACCTGTCTGACCTGTACTAGTGTATGACTGGTAACCTGTCTGACCTGTACTAGTAGTGTATGACTGGTAACCTGTCTGACCTGTACTAGTGTATGACTGGTAACCTGTCTGACCTGTACTAGTAGTGTATGACTGGTAACCTGTCTGACCTGTACTAGTGTATGACTGGTAACCTGTCTGACCTGTACTAGTAGTGTATGACTGGTAACCTGTCTGACCTGTACTAGTGTATGACTGGTAACCTGTCTGACCTGTACTAGTAGTGTATGACTGGTAACCTGTCTGACCTGTACTAGTGTATGACTGGTAACCTGTCTGACCTGTACTAGTAGTGTATGACTGGTAACCTGTCTGACCTGTACTAGTGTATGACTGGTAACCTGTCTGACCTGTACTAGTAGTGTATGACTGGTAACCTGTCTGACCTGTACTAGTGTATGACTGGTAACCTGTCTGACCTGTACTAGTAGTGTATGACTGGTAACCTGTCTGACCTGTACTAGTGTATGACTGGTAACCTGTCTGACCTGTACTAGTAGTGTATGACTGGTAACCTGTCTGACCTGTACTAGTGTATGACTGGTAACCTGTCTGACCTGTACTAGTAGTGTATGACTGGTAACCTGTCTGACCTGTACTAGTGTATGACTGGTAACCTGTCTGACCTGTACTAGTAGTGTATGACTGGTAACCTGTCTGACCTGTACTAGTGTATGACTGGTAACCTGTCTGACCTGTACTAGTAGTGTATGACTGGTAACCTGTCTGACCTGTACTAGTGTATGACTGGTAACCTGTCTGACCTGTACTAGTAGTGTATGACTGGTAACCTGTCTGACCTGTACTAGTGTATGACTGGTAACCTGTCTGACCTGTACTAGTAGTGTATGACTGGTAACCTGTCTGACCTGTACTAGTGTATGACTGGTAACCTGTCTGACCTGTACTAGTAGTGTATGACTGGTAACCTGTCTGACCTGTACTAGTGTATGACTGGTAACCTGTCTGACCTGTACTAGTAGTGTATGACTGGTAACCTGTCTGACCTGTACTAGTGTATGACTGGTAACCTGTCTGACCTGTACTAGTAGTGTATGACTGGTAACCTGTCTGACCTGTACTAGTGTATGACTGGTAACCTGTCTGACCTGTACTAGTAGTGTATGACTGGTAACCTGTCTGACCTGTACTAGTGTATGACTGGTAACCTGTCTGACCTGTACTAGTAGTGTATGACTGGTAACCTGTCTGACCTGTACTAGTGTATGACTGGTAACCTGTCTGACCTGTACTAGTAGTGTATGACTGGTAACCTGTCTGACCTGTACTAGTGTATGACTGGTAACCTGTCTGACCTGTACTAGTAGTGTATGACTGGTAACCTGTCTGACCTGTACTAGTGTATGACTGGTAACCTGTCTGACCTGTACTAGTAGTGTATGACTGGTAACCTGTCTGACCTGTACTAGTGTATGACTGGTAACCTGTCTGACCTGTACTAGTAGTGTATGACTGGTAACCTGTCTGACCTGTACTAGTGTATGACTGGTAACCTGTCTAAGCTGTACTAGTGTATGACTGGTAACGTGTCTGACCTGTACTAGTGTATGACTGGTAACGTGTCTGACCTGTACTAGTGTATGACTGGAAAACTCACACTTCTAGATGCTGCGTCTCTTTGACAACTTTGGCCAGAACGGTCAATGCATTCTGCTTGACCATTAGCGTGGCGACGGAAGTGTTGGTGACGACGCTGACCAGGTAGTGCAGAAGGTGGATGCGTTTCTGCGAGGGCGGACCTTTCTCTGTGTTACAAAGGTTGTCCATGACGCTCTTCACATGTTTATGTAAATCTTTCTCAGACATGGCATTTATCTTTTCCGCTGGAAATAAAACAGCTCATTTTGTATATAACCCTAATAAGAACAGTCAGTAAAAATCATGTCTGGTGGAGGCACGGTAGTCTAGTGGTAGTATGCCGGGCTTGTGACCAAAGGGTTTGGGGTTCACGGCACGGCACTGTGTTGTATCTTTGAGCTGGATACTTTACTCCGCTTGTTCCAGTCTTCTCAGCTGTAGATGAGTGTGTGGTTGGGCAGTGTTCGAATTGTTGAATGCTAGCTGTTAGCGCCGAAATGGCAGCTATGGATGTATGCTCCCCAGGGAGTTGAGAAAGATATTGGCTGGTTGCAAAGGCCCTATAACCACGGATAATAATTTGTGAACCGCTTTGAGACGACCTACGAACAAGGTTGTGACAAAGTGGTATATAAGAACCTCAAATTATTATTAATCATTATTATTATGTCTATATGAAGAGGACTGTGGTGTTAGTTTGTTCACAGTATTTTTTAAAATAGATTACAATAGTCTTTCAACACAAGATATAGCACGATAAGTCACCTGGCGTACATGTTTTGATCAATGAAATCTCATCAGAGATGATGAAGGCGACATGATTATTAAGTCACAAAATGTAAGACTAAACCTGATATGTACTTACTTGAGTAGGGCGGGACGGGTAGGATTTTAAGATTGTACATACCTGAGTAGGGCGGGACGGGGAGGATTTTAGGATTGTACATACCTGAGTAGGGCGGGAAGGGGAGAATTTTAGGATTGTACATACCTGAGTAGGGCGGGACGGGGAGGATTTTAAGATTGTACATACCTGAGTAGGGCGGGACGGGGAGGATTTTAGGATCAAATTTCGAAGAAGGTGGCTTCTGAATCTGAAACAGAAACAATCATTTCAGGTAAATCATTTGCCAGCATTATTGACCAAGGTATAAAGACGATATATTTTGTTAAATATTTGCAGAAGTGAATGTAATTCTGAGCTCAGGGAAAGAAAATTAAACTGTATACAAGTTAATATGTGAATACAATATAAGTGCCAGTTATGTCTTGTTTTACTTCCATATGCTGTTGATGTCAGTTTACATGTCAAGTTACTGTGAATTCAGGTATTTTCATGGGGCCCAAATTTCGTTGTTTCCCGACAAAACACCGTTTCATGGGTACATGAATTCATTAGGAGTAATTAAAAACTCCACCAAAAACAAGTGATTTCACAGTACCTTAGAAACAAAAAAATGCAAAATTGTTTCACCTTATTTTACCTAGATTTCAAATAAAAATTGCCTACCAGGTACTTGATTTTCGGTGAGAAACTCTGAAGACAACCTTAACTTTGGTCAGCCTTATGACCTACATTTGGTCAGCATCATGACCTACCTTTGGTCAGCCATATGACCTATCTTTGGTCAGCCTTATGACCTACATTTGGTCAGCCTTATGACCTACATTTGGTCAGCCTTATGACCTACATTTGGTCAGCCTTATGACCTACCTTTGGTCAGCACTATGACCTACCTTTGGTCAGCCATATGACCTACCTTTGAATTGTCCATGATTGGTGTAACCTGAAAGTCGCTGGGATGGAAAACAAGTTCTAGTACTTCATTCCTTGTTTCCTCAGCCTGGCTCTGATCACCTGTCGTGACTGTGGCCCCGATAACCTCCCTTGTCGACAGAGGGGATTGTGTAGCCTTGTGAGGGGAGCCTACCCTATCATCGGGGGTTGCAGTGAGTGGGCGGGTACTGGAATATGTTAAACAGTTCTTACTACTGTTTCAGTGTGTATAGGAACCATTCATATGTCAACCCACAAAATGAATTGACCTAGTCATTAAATAACACAGTGATTTTATAAATTACATGAGAAAGTAGATATTTGTGTTAAAGTTTCGTGTCGGAGGTCAATTTTCCGGGCATTGTGGACATTGATTTTGAAGGAAAAATTGATGCATAAAATATATAAGTAGAAGGTGTTTTTTCTTATCTTTTTCAGATCAAAAATTACCTGCATAAATTACACAGGTTTTTATAATAACTTATGCAACATGGCACCCTTTCAGAGCTATTCAATGGTTGCATATAGAGACAACAACAACATTGGGAATATTTCTCGTTTATAGAGAGCACTCTTTACCATTCACTCCCTCTGCCCACTAAACATAGCCTAACATTTACTCCGTAAACAACCACACATGTATTTTATTAAATGAGAGACTCCCTACACACACTCCCTCCACTCCACAAAGGTCACATCTAATAGTAAAGATGTTCTTACCTCAGAGTAAAGAGAGTAGCCCCTCCATCGCTGCCTGGAGCTGTTTTTGGCCGCATATAATCTCCCAAAGTTGACCCTGAAAAAAAAAATCAATCTTCAGCTGTCATTCAACTGAAGCTTTAGTGTTGCCTATATACGGCTTTCTACTTAAATATCTTGTTTACTTTACCGGTAATTCATACTGTTTGTTTTAATTTACCTTGCTTACTTATATTTACTTTAACTTAACCTTGTTTACTTTAAAGTTCTCGATTTAAATTAACCTTTACTTTCACTTTCCCTTGTTTTCTTTAAAGTTCTCGATTTAAATTAACCTTTACTTTAAACTTTACCATATTAACATTTTCATACAGACTAACTTTACCTTATTAACATTTTCATACAGACTAACTTTACCTTATTAGCATTTTCATACAGACTAACTTTACCATATTAACATTTTCATACAGACTAACTTTACCATATTAGCATTTTCATACAGACTAACTTTACCATATTAGCATTTTCATACAGACTAACTTTACCTTATTAGCATTTTCATACAGACAAATTTTACCTACTTCATCCAAACAGTTAAAGTAGAAATATTTGTTTCATAAATCATATGCAGACATACTGTGAAATTAAAGTGCAACAAAATTGCCAGCATGAAGATACATGTGCATACGTTTACGTAAACATTCATTGTGAGTATGTAAGCCAAGCCAATACAACGACTTACCTGGTCGGAGCATGGTGTCGGGGACATCCAGAGTACACATGGGTCTGTCTGTACTCTTCCCCAAGTCCATGGTCTTGATCTTGCCGAGGGCAGATGCGGTGCCGTCCACGAAGACGCTACTGCGTGACGTGGAGGCTATGCTGCTGTGGACATCCTGCGATAACACCAGGTCCTTGGCGAGGTGACTTAACTGGTCCTGCCAGAAGGAATGATTCACCAAACCTGGCCATCCTAATCTGTACACAAGATTCACATCAGGCATAAACCAATTCAATTAGAAAGATTAATATAAAAAAAACAGTAATTACATGAATTCATACATGAAGTTAACATTGGTTGTTTTCGTAAGTACTTGGGTTATTATTAGTCCGGTGGAGACGTACTGGGGTGGTTATCACATGATGTACTACATTTGTAGTATATAGGAAGCATGCCAGTGACTTTTCAACCTAAATTTTACAACAGCCTGTTCCTGCATGAACTGGGGAAATATAGCATCATTTTACGGAAGTTGGGAAGATATTCCTGATTTTTTCTTTATTTTGAAAAAAATAAAGCACTTTTTAGCCAGGGGAAGCATACTGTATTTAGCTGCATGTGTTAGGTGTGCTCTATCGTGCTCGTTTGCTCAACACCATAACTATTCATGTAAATTTTGTAATCAAATATTTTTGTGAGGATTTTTTTTGTGTATGTATATATATATACACTGTATTTGCAAATGTGATTAGATTTGGAAATCTTATTGGCCAGTGGGGTTAGGAAATACTCGATAGGTTTGAATTGTGTTTGTTTGTGGGATATAATCAACGAACGAGCTATCATCCCACTTATGTCTCACGTTATCATTTGAAATTTATTGTTTTATATTCGGACAAATACAATGAAGGAGAATATAATTATGAATTTCTATTACAGTCTTTTCACAAAAACGAATGGAATGAGGCTGTTGGCATCTTTGGGAGACAAGAGGGGCAGAGATTCAGCTATACAAAAAGTATGGAAAAATGATTGATCTGGGACCCACTTCCCATATATATACATGTTCACACAACAAATGAAAAGACGACAGTATCACAAGATAGGAATAACAAGAGGCCCAAGAGGGCCTGTATCGCTCACCTGAATATTTAAGCAGTCATAGCAAAATATTCTCATTAAATATTATATTACACTAAAAATATTTCCCTCGCAAACTTTGTTGGCTCCATCTGTTGAAACTACCAGCAAAATATTATTATAAGATTCTATGCTTTTTGATTCTTCTTCAGAAGTTGCTGACATATTTTTCCCTGTGATCTTGTAAGTAGGTCAATGTCATTTTCCTTCTCAAATTGGTTAGCTCTATTCCAAAAAGCTACCAGCCAAATCTTATGAATCCATTCCTTTTAGTTCTCAAGAACAAATCCATTAAAATGTTGTTGACCTCTGTGACCTCTAAAGTAGGTTGAGGTCATTTTCATTTGCAAACTTTGGTGAGCTCTATCCCGGGAAGTCACCAGCCAAATATTATAATTTTATGCCTTTTAATTCTTCAGAAGAAGCTGTTTGAACTGTNTGCCTCACAAAACACAAGCCATCACTATGTGGTAAAGTTCAAAAAATGTCAGAGATGGGTCTTGTTTCTTAAGACTGGGAGGGAAGACACCCTTAAACCACTTGTTCAAGAATATACCTCCGAGCGATTCAGGCGTAGCATCAGTGAACAAATGTTAGTCAGCGGGAGCTGTAAATGGTCGTTCAAGAAGAAGGATACTCCGTTCCAATTACTCAAGAAAAGGGACCACATGTTGAAAACTGCTGCATGGTGGCTGTGTGGCACCCTATTTGACCATTGACAAACTGACCTCTGACACCTGTCGCATAGCGCGATATATTTCCCGCTTTAAGTGTGGGAAACAAATACAGGGGAAATAAATGACCCACTATACAAAGATATATGGTACTCGTCGTTTTCTGAAAAAGAAACCAAATTCCACAATTGCGCCCACGTAGCATGCAGAATAGACGATATCATAAAGCCCTGGGAGTAGCTCGATAGCATGGAACCTGCCTGGTAAGAACCAAGGACTTGAGTAAGACTCGAGGTTCATTTAAACCGAACGCATCGCGTTCGTGACACCTCGGATGTCAGCCAGTGAAGATACACACGTGTTGTTGTTGTGACAGTGTCGACATTCTTCGCTGTTCAGGGAGGGCAGGAGAAACTTGACGCCGGGAAGAATTGTCACAGAACTCACCGTTGTGGCGACGCTAGTAACGGAATCACTTAAACGCCTTTCCAGTCTGACAAAACTGTCCTGGAGTGTTGACACACTCTCTGCCAATCTAGTGACGATGTCGACCAACGTTTGCATATGCGAACCATCGAGGAATAATATCGATTCGAAGTAACCTGGTCGCCATCTTGTCGCACGGAATTGTGGGATCGCGCACCTCTCGTCCTCGAGTCTCTCAAATTATTTATCAAACCCGTTCGTTTCCCGTTGGCACTGAACGGTACCGTCAATCTTGTCAATTCCTCTCGGAAACGAGCTACCGGATCGTACGGAACAACTGTAGAATTCCTACTTTTAGACCCCATGTCTTAAAATTATTGTCGATAGGCCTAAATATTAACGTTATATATAGCCTAAGGTGTAGGTTGGCATGGTCGAATGCACGTACAAAGTCAAGTTCACACCGTAATGACGAATCACGGTGAAGTATTTGCTCGCTATAATTGTATAGGAAGTGCGTCAAGTCCTAAAACACGAAGTTGTAAGGTGGTATTATTCGTACAACAGTAAACGATCAGTAGGCTGCCTTGCTACCAGTGTGTACAGTAGCGTAGCCACACCTAAGTCCAAAAATCACGCAGAAAGTAAACAAACGTTTCTCCTCATACTGATTCACGTTTACAACGAAACAAACTGGCGAAAGTTAAATCATACGGCGATGACTGTCAATGAGTAATCGTGGTGTAGTTTAAGATAAATCCATAGTGTAGTAAACACTTGAAAAGTCGAAGAATACGGGAAAAGCAAACACACCAACACCCGCCGGAAATCAATAATGAGGGGCACTGACAATACCACATACCCTCTAGGGGTTAATGCTGATTGGTTAACACTCCCCTTATTTGCATAAAAACATAAACATGAAAAACCTAGATACAAGAATATTACCACACGTAAACAAGGAAATGAACTTAAGTAAATTCACACATATATATCTAACTGTTCCACTGTAGAAAAACAACCTATGATATATATAAGCAAGGGAGCAATAAAAGTTGTATATAAACTATAATTTAACACACATGTCAAATTATCATTTCATACATGAAATTAACATCGGTTGTTTTCGTAAGTACTTGGGTTATTATTAGTCCGGTGGAGACGTACTGGGGTGGTTATCACATGATGTACTACATTTGTAGTAAATAAGAAGCATGCCAGTGACTTTTCAACCTAAATTTTACAACAGCCTGTTCCTGCATGACCTGGGAAAATATAGCATCATTTTATTGAAGTTGGGAAGATATTCCTGATTTTTTCTTTATTTTGAAAAAAAAAAGCACTTTTTAGCCAGGGGAAGCATACTGTATTTAGCTGCATGAAATCTTATCGGCCAGTGGGGTTAGGAAATACTTGATAGGTTTTAATTGTGTTTGTTTGTGGGATATAATGAACGAATGAGCTATTATCCCACTTATGTCTCACGTTATCATTTGAAATTTAATTGTTTTATATTCGGACAAATACAATGAAGGAGAATATAATTATGAATTTCTATTACAGACTTTTCAAAAAAACGAATGGAATGAGGCTGTAGGCATCTTTGGGAGACAAGAGGGGCAGAGATTCAGCTATACAAAAAGTATGGAAAAATTATTGATCTGGGACCCACTTCCCATATATATACATGTACACACAACAAATGAAAAGATGACAGTATCACAAGATAGGAATAATAATATAGAGTAGGTTTTGTTAGTGACAAAAGTTCCGTCTTACTTAGGGTTGCAAATTTAAATTTTATGATATCATTGGTTTTTAACTGTGTAAACACTGTGTCAGTGACCCCTATTTCAGACAAATATTCTGTCTTGCTCTAGGCAACTTGTTTTCAGTTTTATAATACACCTGTTTCAATCATATCATATGTTATTAACACTTTCCCCAGTCTCCCTTTCATCAGACAAATGTAACCAAACATGTACAATTGTTCTATCAGGTTCGAAACATGTGAAAAATCTTAAAATTACCTACATAGAGTCTGACAGGTCGAACTGGCCAAAGTGTGAATAACGAATGATTATATTGGGTCACTTCAGCCACTTTTGCATATCCGGTTCAACCAGTTTGTCTGTTTTTAAATGTAACATTTTCGGGTACCAAGTCTGACCTTAATTATTTCATAAACAAACAACTCTGGACAGACCGGTTCAACAGCTTGGATCGTGACAAACGAATGCGGCCCTATGAGTATCTCACTGTGTATAAACAGATTCGATTCGGTGTTTTTGTTACTTAAATTTTACAACAGCCTGTTCCTTTATGTTTTCGGAAAATAAAGCATCATTTGTATTGAATTTGGGAATATATTCCTCAGTTTTTGTTATTTTTGGGAAAATAAGGCACTTTTTAGCAAGGGGAAACAGCCTGTATTCCTCGGTAAAACTGAGCAAAGGAAAATCACTGCAATTGCAACCTTGTTTACCACCAACATATTTCAATGTCCCTTTTTATCATTTTCTTATGAATTTCTTTATACATTTCCCTCAAGTATTTGCCAAATCCCTTTATACCGCCAAAATTCTCTGGACAAATAGTGGCAGTATAAGGAGGTTTCACTGTACATTGGAAATAGTTCTCTCAAGTTCGTAGATTAGGGTTTTTGAGGGTCTGCTTTACCTTTGTTCTGGGTCCTTGTGGAGAAGTCCTTCTAACAGACTGAGGAAATCAGGTGAGGGCATGGAGGAAAACCTTGTACCTAAACAAATACAAAGTTTTGTGATAATGTTTTGTTTTTAAATACCGTAAACCTTTCATCATGTCTACACAAAGACTTTGTCACTTCTGGTACAACCTTAAGGATTCTCTATACATACCATTGATCAAGTTACTCAGAGATCATATATATAGCAAACCATGGATGCACGGCAGATGTTTCATCATAGATTCACCACAAGCAATGAACATGCATTGAAATACAAATTTTATTAAGATGGAATATCAAAAAAATTAATTCCTATCTAATTTTGGCATGAATTGATATAAATTTTAAATATAAAATCATAATACCATTTATAATTGTCCATTTTATAATGTTTTGTAAAATATTTCAAATAAACGTCAAAAAAATACAAACTTGTCAAAAAATAATAATTTACTCATGAAACTACATGACCTTTGACCTTTTGTATTGAAATGCCTTACCTTTGACCTTTGGTGGGGTCAATGCCTTGTGAATGATTTTCTCTTTCAGCTGTTGTATTGACTCCGCCAGAAATGGTGGATGTCCAGTGAAAATTTCATATAGAACACAGCCAAGTGACCACAGGTCACTGAGGATGGTCACTTCTCCACCCTGTAAGACCTCAGGCGAGCTATAGGTAGTTGAACCTAAAAATAATCAACTATGTATTAAATTACACACCATCTTTTTTCTATTTTATTTTTTTATCTTTTTTTATTATTGTATTTTGTGTTAAAAAAAATCGATGCAGTGATACATTTTTTCAAAATAGTTCGGTCAGCAGTATCAGAAATCTTTGCAATCTGTCTGAACTGAATCATTCTTTAACAAAGTCAAAACACACAAAAATATCCCTTTTGCAGTAAAACATCCATTGGTTCAATAGAGCCAGGCTGGAGATGGCTTATTTTCAGGCACCACAAACTGACATCACTTCATTTATTTGACACTTTTTACTTTTTTATTCACATCTACTTGGGCCAACAATTTTCATTACTGAGCCATATAGAATTCACCAATTTGATTTTTTTTCTTAACATCATTTATAACCTGCTGATGTTACCATGTTGTCACAAAATATAAATGAACAAATTTTAAACCACATAAGAGTTTTTGTAACCATACCCTATTTGAAAAAAAATTTGAATAGCAAACACCTCCAACACATTTCATTTTCTACAATGTTCATGTCCTCTAACTTGTAAGACCTAGTTTCCACTAGTTTATTTAACCAACAAATACTAAAATGTTATACCTGAAGTTTTATACTTCTTCATAGAGGCCAGGTCATCCCCGAGCTCAGCACTCCACTGCTCTCCAGCCTCCGAGAACTTCTGGAATAACTCGTCCAAATTTTCTCCTTCAACTTTGGACAGACCAAAGTCCGCAAACTTCAGAATTCCCTTCCCATCAAGGAGAACCTCAAAGATGGAAGAAATTAGAAACATGCAACATTAAACAACTCCAATTATCTAAATTTTGCTTTCCAATAGCCGTATATACAGTACCACAAACAAGCTTTCCTTAATGTAGGTTTAATCTAGATGTTTGAATTCTTTGGTTTGGTTGGTTTGTGTTTTACGTCCTATCAACAACTATGGTCATTTAAAGACGTGCCAGGTTTTGGTGGTGGAGGAAAGCCAGAGTTTCCGGAGAAAAACAGCCGACCTACGGCCAGTACCTGGCAACTGCCCCACGTAGGTCTGTAACCCGCAACCCAATGGTGGAGGGCTAGTGGTAGCAGAATGTCAGATGCCTACACCACTTGGCCACCGCGGCCCCTTTTATATTTTTGAAGCCACATATTTTTTTTGTAATTTGGGAAAATCCACAGTTCAAACGACCAAATGAAAAACATATATCAACATTTTTCATATTATTGAATATAAAATATAAAACTAAAACATAAGTTGTTTGTGATGTAAAAGAGCATTTTTCGCACCCTTCATTTTTATTTTTTTTTATGAAACAGATGTTAAACAAAACCATATCTAATACTGTTATTAACTTAAAACAGGACTATTTGTTATTATTAGAAACCTTCGTCTCCAGACTAAACTGGCTACTTGTCAGATATATATCAACTAAATTGATAGGTACAAAAAAAAAACACCAAAATACAATTATATAGGACAGCTGGAAGTCACAGAAAATTTTACAAAAAGAATGTACAACTACGGTATATACATGATACAAGGTTTTCAGAAAAACTCTCAGGTTACATGTATATATATTAATTATTAACTACTTTTTCAACAGCCCAAGATCACAAAAGAGAATGATAAAAGTATCTATTTATATACGGTGCAACACATTTATCAATACAAAACTATTTCAATTAATTAATACCTTTGATGACCAGAGATCACAGAAAATGATACCAAACAAATGTAAAACTATATAAATCTTAGAAGCTGTTTCAGGTCACATATAAAAAAAAACATAAGGGCCTAAAATCTAAGAAGAGGATGTCGAGAGAATATGTTTCTGTACTGTGTAACACACTTATTAGTAGAAATCAACTTTACATGTATACCTTTGATGGTCGGAGATCACAAAAGAGGATCCCAAGAGAATGTATATAATGGAGTCCGGTGACGAGGTCGATACCGAAAGTGCGGACAGAGCTCTCAGGCAGATTCTTGTCCTGGTTGATGAGGACCTCGAGACTTCCTCCCGTACACAGCTCCACGACGAGCCACAGGTGGTTACTGGTCTCGTACCACTCGTGGAACTTTACCACATTGGGATTCTGTATGTCATGGGTCATCCGCACCTTAATGTAAAACAACAGGTTAAAATTTAACAGAGTTATTCTGCTGTTATTGTTTCCTGTTATACAGTAGTTCGTTAGAGATTAAATAATGCTGTTTCTGTCGGAGGGTACAACTTAATTCACTGGTGAAACTAGTAAAATTGATGACAGAACTGACAAACATTTTTAATATTTACTATGAAATTATAGTTTCGGCATGATAGAATTTTCCAAAATCTACCTGCAGACTGTTACTCTAAATAGGAAATTGGAAAACCCTGATATTTCTTCCCAAAAGACAAGTTTGGCCAATCACTATTGGTAAGTGATAACAAACCCAAGAAGTTGAGAATGTTACTATACAGAGAGTGAGATATAATTTCTATTAAGATAATACACTTCTGAATTTTTCATTTATTAATTTATATATGGTTAAATGAAATATGAAGAGTATAGTACATGAAACACTTCTATTTCTATTTCTATTTCTGTTATAATACATTAATATTAACAAGATGAGCACAGCTGAATTTTACATTTTGATATTATATAGTATACTCTGGTAACAATAAGTTGCTAGAATATAAAACACCCTACTTTTAATTTGACCTGATTCTACAAGTATACTTACCGTATTGGTGACTTCTGGTCGTTTGCATTTTTCAATGCAGTGGATTGCCACAAAATTGATTGTTCCTTTACGTCGGCCTTTATATATGATAGAGTGGTCTCCCCTCCCCAGCTCTTCATACAGAACAAAGTTTTCCATGTTGTGTCACCATCCAACAGTCACAGATTCATTGTATCACTTATAAATCTAAAATGAAAAGAGGTGTACAATTTACTTACAACCTCATGTTAAAAAAGGTCAAATAGTTTTGTTCCGCTACATTCCTCCCTCCTTCAACAAAGTTTTCAACCCCAATTAGACACACGAGACCATAGTCCACCTTTCATGGGTATATTTCGTTGGGCTCCAAATTTGTAACAGGATAAAGAGAAATGCAAAAGCCAGAACGGGGTTTGAACCTGGGACCCTCCGAACTATCTATCTATCTATATATTCTGCATCACCCTCTTTCGAGTATTATATGCAGTGTGTGCGTCTGTGCATGTTAAAAGGTATTGTGTGGTGACCGAGATAGAAATGATAAAGTGCGGACTGGTGCATGCATAAGGAAGAGAGAGAGGAAAGAAAGAAAAGTGTGATGAGAGAGTATTTGGTGCTAAGAAATGTCTATAAGTTTAGGCCTAGCTGCTACTGCCCATACAAGGGCATATTTTATGGAACCTCTAAGGATGTAGATAGCTCCTGTTGTACAAAATAGCGGATCTATTATGGACTTCGAGTCGGGAGGAGGGGGGGGGGGGATAATAATAGTTTGAAGATTGTTTACCTAATATATAGTAACATACACTCCAACTGAGATGTATTTGGAAAGAGTTCTGATTCAGTGTTGGTCGACATATCAACTCTTGCCACCTTTAGGAACTCTTTCCAATACAGAGCCAGAAATAGTGTATTCGGGTAGGTGAACTATGATGACAGGGGACGGGGGTGAAGGGGACGGGGGAGGGTGAAGTTAAAAATACGATGACATAGAACTGTAGATGAACGCTCTAACCAATTGATCATGAGCTACCTTGTACCGCTACACTAGTATAACCCTGAATATGGGTAATAATGATACTAGTTGTATGTTTCCATTAGTCCATTTGCACATATGTCTCGGACAAGTCAGCAGTAATTTCATCAGTTTTCTATTGACATGAGTTAAAAATCGTGGTTGCTTCTTAAGGGCGCAGAAACTGATGACACGAGTATACAGTTGTGGCAGGGGTCAATTTACATAGGATTCAGGTCGCCTTCTAGCTTAGAGCAAGAGGGAATTTCCCTTTAGCTTAGTGGTAGAGCGTCCGACTAGGAACCTGGAGATCGAGGGTTCGATCCTTGGTGGAAGCACACTATTCTCTTTCCTGTTACAAATGGTGTCCGTGGCCCTCTCTGTTGTGACAGGGAGTTAGAGCCTGGGTTGTGGTGTTCGAGGTCGAACACATTTAAAAAGGGGGGAGTAGTGTGGCAGGGTTCAATTTACATAGGATTCAGGTCGCCTTCTAGCTTAGAGCAAGAGGGAATTTCCCTTTAGCTTAGTGGTAGAGCGTCCGACTAGGAACCTGGAGATTGAGGGTTCGATCCTCGATGGAAGCACACTATTCTCTTTCCTGTTACACAGTATATTAAAAACTGATAGAGGATTGGCCAACCAGCAACCTCACGTGACATGTTGTAGGAGATACTCTGTAGCCAGTCAGAAATTACTGTCTATCTCCCTTTTGTGATATAGGACTCCATTATTTTCTTTAAAGAGATAGTTATTTCTGACTAATCAGCAGCCTACCAGGTTCTGTAATGCAAAACTTGACACAACTGACAATACTCATACAGTGTTAGAGGTGTACACGGTGAGATACTTTTGACAGGCGGCGCGTAACGCAAAATCATATCCGATAGAAAAAAGGCCGACCAGCGGCCTCTTATTTTATAAGGAGTAAAACTGACCAGTGCTTGTTTTTTTGTATTTTCACGATGATTTTGACAACATAAATCCTTCAAACCTTTTCAAAAATCCTGGACATGAGAAAACAGCTTCCTATCGTGTTTCAGCCAAAAACTGCGTCAGTTGGGAAGAGGTAAAAATTATCTTGTCTGATCTTGAATACCTCTGATGAAAATATTTGTTTGAAAATGGCCGCTGTAGTTGCCCCAGACGTTCGCTGCAACGATTTAGTTGATTGGTTGGAATGGAACATATTGACCTATCATAATCCAGTTTACAAATTGGTAGAGACTAAAATCTGTCTTTGACGCTCTCAAAGTTCCGGACTTACGCATGTTATGAAAAATTAAACTGAATAGGAATTACACCCAATTGAATCACGGTCAACCAAATTTAATCTAAATCCGTGACTGAATTGAAGAAATCTTCAATAGTTGAATTATTCAAGTATTGAACTGAAAATAGGTATATTAAACATATTCACAAATGAATATATTGAAGATTTCAATTTAATATTGGTTCTATCCAGAGACGTATAAAAAGTTCTATCCAGTCAAAAATGGATTTAATTAATCTTATTTGTATATCATTAAACTTTTTGAATTCAATTGAGGTAATTCCCAATCGAATTGAAGATGTATTTAATTGAATTGAATATCTACAATACAAAAGGCCAATAGGACCTGTATCGCTCACCTGGATGGCTATGGGTTTGGAATCTCAGCCATTTCCTTCTTTTAGTTTCTGAGAAGACGTCGCTTAAAGCAATACGGCCAAATTATTCCTTTTTGACCCCATCCCTCATTCTGGGAGGGGGGGGGGTCAGCCCCACCATATGTACAATTTTGAATCCCCACCACCTAACTTAGGGGTGATTCTAGTGCAATCTGGTTAAATTCCAAACACCGGTTAAGGAGTTAAGTCGTTTTAAGAAATTGTTGACGGACGGACGGACGACGGACGCCGCGGTATGGTATAAGCTCACCTTGGTCCTAATTGGACCAGCTAGGTGAGCTAAAAATAAAAATATCTTCCGTTATTTGAAGAAAGGAGCAACTACTTGAATGTGTTAATTTGGTGTTCCACAGCCCAACCCCCATATCCCCACAAATCTGTTCACCCAATGTGAATGGATTATAAAAATCTACCTTCTATGGTGTCATTTTTTGTTAAATTTTCCGTTATTTTTCACTCGATTGATACACGTAATATTGCATCACATGATCATAAAATATGAAATAATGAAAAACAATTGTGTCCAAAATCCTTTAATGATGCTGCCATAGGAAAACATGTAAAATATGTAATTAGGGCTACATGTACATCATAATTAGATACGTACTCTTCAGATAAATGTAAATGTATAGACGGAATTTAAAGGGGAAAAAATAGGATATTCACTAAATGTCCCCGTCCCCCATTGCTAGTACATTGAAATCTCTACGGTAAATTCTTGTTATGTTTTTACATCATTTCATGTTTGAACAGTTTTTACAGTAAATTGACACCGTTTTGGATCCAGATCGTTTCGCCCTAAATTCCGTTGGCACCACGGATCGTTTCGCCATAGGAAATCAAGATCGCCCATGTTTTATTTCGCCCTGATATAAATATGTATTTGTAAATTATAAGTGTTTTAAGTTATCAAAACTTGCTAACAAACAATTGTGTTGTTGGAAGAATTAAATTCATTATGTATGCTATGTGTAGGGACAGTTGAGCATGTACGGGTCTAACGAGCCTAAGGACAAAAAAGGGCTGAAGAAAGCTAACAAGATCTTTAAATGAGACTGTAATAATAATATACAACATTTATATAGCGCACTATATAATTTGTAAAATTACTCTAAAGCGCTTTACAACATATGGATAATAGTAATGGTTAAAATTGTGAAAACAACAAAAAAAACAAAGGCTTACAATTAAAGCAAGCAATGTGCACATAATTGAACAAATAAAAGGGTGGTATTTACATGACGTCTTTGCAAGGATTTTAAAATGCAGACGTGAAGAGGTGAGTTTTGATGTCCCTCTTGAACTTGGCCAGGGTATTTGACTTTCTAATAGCAGATCTAGATGGTAAGCTATTCCACAACGTAGCCGAAACCCTCCCAAAGCATTTGTTTCCGTAGGTCATAGTACGAGATTTTGGGACACACAAGAAAGATTCTGACTCCGACCGCAGTGATCGTGACGGCTGATACAGGGTAACAAGCTCCTGTAGGTATTGAGGAGCTGTTCCATTCAGTGCCTTGTATGTGTACACCAGAATTTTGTACTGCGACCTGTATCGTACAGATAACCAGTGCAACAAATAAAGCGCAGGTGTGATGTGCTCTCTCTTTCGAGTACGAGTAACTAGCCGTGCTGCAGTGTTCTGGACCCTCTGCAGACGACTAGATAGTTTGTCAGATATACCACAGAGCAGGGCGTTACCATAATCCAACCGAGAGGTAACAAGTGAATGCACCAAAATCTTGCATGCATCTGCAGTTACAAACTGCCGAATACAGCCGATGTTCCTGATCTGGTAGTAACAGGATTTGGCAATAGCGTTCACTTGTTTCTCCATGTTCAGTGAACTAGCAAAGTATACCCCTAGGTTTTTAACAGCTGGAACAGTCTCAATAGTTCTGGCACCGACCTTGATCTGGAGAACCATTGTTTGCTGACACTTTGGGGAAAAGACGATTAGTTCCGTCTTTTCCTGATTAAGCTTAAGCATGTTGGCGTTCATCCAGATACTGATATCTGTCAGACAAGCTTCCAGACTTTCTGATACTGTATTCCAACTGTCCTGTGGTTTGATGACCATGTAAATTTGTGTGTCATCGGTATAGCAATGATAGCGAAGGCTATGGCGACGACAAATCTCTCCAATCGGTTTTGAGTACATACAATATTTATTTTCGTGGTCCTAACACCGACACTTGAGGAACCCCGAAATCTAGTAATTTGTCATGTGAGGTGGAAGAACCGATGGCAACACACTGTCGTCGTTCACTCAGATAAGACTATATCCAGCATAGTGCGGTATCAGTCAATCCATAGGAGTATTTCAGACGTTTATAAAGTATGCCATGGTCGATGACTTCAAATGCAGCTGACAAGTCCAGCATGACAAACACCGCTCTGCACTTGTTATCCAACGCAGAAGCTATATCATTATGTACACGTAGGAGGGCCGTCTCAGTAGAGTGTCCCATGCGGTAGGCCGATTGCATGTTGTCATGGAGACTGTTTGCATGGAGATGAACCTCTAAACGCCGGGACACAACCTTCACGTAGATCTTTTTTTTTTTCTTTTTTTTTCAAACATTTTACTTCCCCAGCACATTTAGGATACTGCCGAGGTTGGGGAGCCCCGGGATCAGCATCTTCACAATCATGTGTCCTCATACAAGAGGGCTATCATACTTTCTTTCATACTTACTAATAATTATATCATTATTTCTTTATTTTTTCACTGCCTTATTTAATATTTTTACTTACATTCAAACTTACATTCAAAGTTACCGTACACATTATCCTTACATACATATATGCATACACTCCCTTTGCCGCGCCTCCAGGTCTTAGACAGAAAAGGCAGATTTGAAACTGGGCGGTAGTTTTTCCACTCCTTCTTGTCATTCAAGGCTTCTTTAACAATGGTCTGACATGTGCTTTCTTGAAACATAATGGAACCTTTGCCAATGATTTGTTCATGATTGAGGTAATCAAAGGAAGCAGTGCTTCAAGTCATTGCTTCAATAGGTATGTAGGCAGTGGATCAAGCTCACAGGACTTCGATTGCGAGGTCATGATAATGTTGCGCAACTCGTCCCGGGTTGTACTAGCCATACATGTACACTACTAAACAGGCCCAAAAATGTTTCGCTCTAAAATATTTTTACGTGATTTAGGGCGAAACGACATGACACCGTTTTTACAATATCAGACGTATTTTTTTCTTGTTCATTTCCACCAATTTTCCATTGTATAAAACCAGGGACGTATACTACTGTCCTTGATAAAATGTATAAATCGTATTCGTTACGTTCAAGGTGCACTGGCAGAGTGCAAAAATGTATAAAAAGTTCTCTAAAATTGTTTATGATGTATACAAAATTCAGATTGTGTGAGCATAACCTTGAACTGGCAATAGGAAGATCAAGAAAAAAAACTAGAGAGCAAAGAGTATGTAAAAAATGTCTTCTTCTTCAGGTGTGGCTATAATGCACAGCTGAGAAAGGACTATTATATAATAGTCAATATATTCAAAACTATTCTATACTAGACACAAATACTTTAAACATGCATTTTATCTTCTGACAATATATATAAAACAGTCACTAGAACTGAGGAGTGTGGGCCTGGCTCCTGTGTAAGTTTATATATTGTTCACTATTGCAGTTTCTTTGTATATTTGTTGCTTTGTTATTTGCCTTCAAGTTACTCTGTAACTATAAATGAGCAATAAGATTATTGAATTGAAAATATATAAAATATCACTTTTTCGTCAACTACAAAAAGTACTGGTACATCATATATACAGGCAGAATTATAAGTGAACGGGATACCAGAGGTTATGTCCACTGTGGTTGACTCTATCATATGAGACAATATTTTAAACAATTATATAATAATATGGAATGTGCACATGAACCAAGCAATTAAGTCAACTAGAATGAACTTTTTGGAGCATTGTCAACATATATTGGCATCGATAAATGAATTTTCTCACATGCATCATGATTTTCATTATTATCTTTAATTCTAACAGAACATTTTAACACAAACAAATATGTTATAAATATACAGTACATTTGATTTTTGACAAACCAAACAACACTACAAGGATATTTAATTCATAAAATGCTATTTGTGTTTGACGGACCATACTGCACGCTCCTTTGGATCTATTGTACGTGTATTTTATTACAGGTACTTGCCTCGTCTGTCAATCCACCTATAATATGACCTATATATAGGTGTATTGACAGACGAGGCTAGTACCTGTGATTTTATAGTTCGCTAGATAGGGATCCGAACATGTAAAATACAAAACAGTGACCCGGTTAAAAAGGCCTTTGTATAAACATACTTCATACACTGTGTAACTCTCTAGCCTCGTGTAACGATGTCCCGCCAATACAAGGACAGCAGACGGAAAATACTGTGTGCTGGTGTATTCGCCGGAATTATCATCATCGTCCTCCTCATCGTTCTCATCGTCATAGCAACAAAAGATCCCGATTGTAGTCCAAGTGAGAAGAAAGGTGAGATCGATTCGGGGCCCGGCCGGGACCCCAGGGAAGGGGGGGGGGGGGGGGANGACTGGCTCAAACTGCCTGCTCATACTGTGTGCTTCTATTCTTTACTACGTGCAGCCCTCCTTCTTTCTAAGTTAATATCATGAACCTATACCTCTATCTGTGTGCTATATGCAATCACGTGTGCTACTTATACAATGTATATGTAAATGTATATATATATGTTTAGGTTAAGTCATAAAAAGTCTATTTCATACTGTATCATTTATCAACGTACGTGTTTGTCTGAATTAACTTTATTATATTTTGTTTCAACGAACGAGCGTGTGTTGTATCTCTCATCTGTCAAGTTATAAATATCTCGACGTGAACATTACTTGCTTAAGTTTTCAAAACTACAGAACCTTCCATTTTGACTGTGTATACAAGGAATTAGATTAGATAAATGTGTGTGTGTGTTAAAAATAGCTCCACGTGACCCTTTTCTAACAATGCCATTTTTTCTCTGGGCCACAAATACATGTATACAGCACATCACTGTGATATCACAGACTTAAATAACACTTTAATTCCATGGTGCTATGAACTGTTATGAATGTATTACAAGATACAAGATGGAAACGTGACTCAACATAAGAGATTTTACTTTGTTAATTAATACATAAAAGTGGTGGGTTTTTTTTAATTTGGTTACGTATGTAAAGCATCAGCGTTTATATTATAGATCTATATTCCTATTCAAAGTATTAAAATATATTAACGACCATGCCGAGTAAACGATACAATTGTAGCGGAACTGGCACAAATAACGCAGAGTCAAATATCAAGTGGGGAAAGGGTGAGCGGAATTATTTGGAATATTTATTTACTTAGACAATGGTCTTTATTTCAGTTTAAAGTTTAACTATTATTTTATTAAAGACTGATAATTAGTGTATATATCTTTGGAATTTAGATTGACATCGCTGAAGGATTTAAAGAGTCATTTAATTTTTTACACTGCTCATTTTCGGTAATATTTACACTTGTATTGACTACTCTGTTGAATATAGAGTTCAACGGGAGGTAACTCGTATCTAATATAAGTTTCGATTGTCGGTCAAATGCTTCATATCACCATGTGAGATGACATGCATAAAACAAACACTTTACTACTACTTTATTATTTTTTAATTTCTAAAAGGAAATGTTTTGCTTCAATATTTTAAAAACGAGCTTTGGTTTGGTTTTCGATCACATGTTTTTATTCAGTTTTCTGTCATTAATACTTTGCATCGATATTTTTCAATAATTAAATTACACGAAATACGGAAATAGGGTACGTGCAACCGCCTCCGTATTTTATAATCAAATGTGGATTTCCGCTATAAACAAAAATCACCAAAGGCCGAAGTCGTGGCATTGTGCAAAACTTAAATAGTTTTGTGGAGTGTTTTCACCCACAAATTATTATAGTTACCGACCTAAGCACGCGTATAACTATAGCAAGTATATGTGTCTGGGTGTTTTGTTATGACACCTTCTCAGGACTACTGAATTTGAATGTGAAAATGAAGGCTATCAGCGGGCCGGTAACGGGTTGTTTCGCCTTAAATCCCGTTCGCCCTAATGGTTATTGACGGGCCGGGGTTAAATCAAATGCAATATGTCAAACAAGTAATAAACATCTTGGTACCTAAAAGCTTGAGCACCAAAATGTCTGTACCGCATGTAAAAAGTATGGCCAGTTCTGCATCACTGTCAGATCTTGTGTATAACCACGAAATTAGATTGTTATCTAAGTCCGTGGTATAACAGGTTGACAGGTTCAGTACACTCTGCCGATTGAGCTATATTATAATATAGCTATAAGACCTTTATAGCTATAGAGCTATAATTTCTCAGATTTCAATTTTCATTAAAGCAAAGTCGCATAAAACAATAAGGTTTATGGTAATGTTGACTACAAAAAGCAGACATTTAGATGTTTATTTTCATTTTTCATAAATTGTAAAATTTCCGATTATTTTACATCATTATTTTTTAAAAAGAATACTTATATTTAATGTCTTTTGTTATCAACCTACTGATAAAATCTTCTTTTAAAAGCGACTTTGTTTCGTTTTCCTTCAAAAAGAAAATCACATGAAAATAGCTCAAAAGACCTATTTCAGATAGGTCAACAGAGCTATTATAGGTCTTTACAGCTATATCGCTCAATTGGCAGAGTGAACCTGTATAATACTGTTTTACTGACCACATTCCAAAAACATGTATAGAATTTTCAAATATTTATATACTAAAGATTCAACATATAAGTTACATGTGTTGATAGAATTTCTTTTACCGAAGTTGGTTCCATCTGTAGCACTGACTATTTTCTCTCTCCCAGGCTTGGTTCTACGCTCTAAGCCTCCACAGGTCCCAACAACAGGGCCTGTACATGTATTTATGGAACTGCTCTCATTCACAAACATGGATTCTGTGCTCATTCAAGCTTTCTTTTAAGTCACACAGTCAAAAAGTTGAGTTTAGACATTGAAAACGGTATTTGGTTTTAAGTTTCTCCAAAATTCTTCCAAATCATTGACAAAATGTATTTTTTTATTGATTTAACATCAGAACAAGACATATTGGACTTGAGCACAGAATCTGAGTTTGAGCATGAGAACAATTTAATGAATACAGGCCCAGATATAGAATTGAGACCTTTTGACAGATAGCTAGATGTCGGAGTTCAGGCCAGAGGAAATTCTGGCTAAGCTGTATGCCATAATAATTTATATACCACAATACTCGAGAATGATGGTTTCCCACTTAATGATCAAACCTTTTATAATCATTTACAAAAATCCAGGGTATATTTCTTTTATGCTCAGCAACATCTTTTGAGCACTGCAACACCAAATCTGGACTCCTACAGCGGAGGCAATTTATACAGTGATGTCTTGTACATGCATTTGGATATGTTGTATGTTAAATATAACTTTAATCGTAACCCAAATTGTCTTTTTCTTTTTGTAATATCCAGGTCCAAAAGATAACACAATGCCCATCACAGTAGAAGACTCCTATGGACAGATAGATGGACAGAATGTTAAAAGGTAAAAACCCTTCTTGTAGGGGGGGGGGGGGAAACAAAAGTTAAAAACTGATGTCGATGCAGATACACGCTGAGTTTGATTAAGACGAACATGATCAATGATTTACAAGATACAAAGTTTAGCACTTATTTGACCTTTGAGGTGAAGGTCAGATCGACCTAATTGTAGTGCACTGCATACCTTCTTTGGAAAGAACATTTACACTTGACTTCAGTTTCATCATATATTTTGTAGTTTACATATTACAAGATTTCCCTTGTAATTTGGCACTTACTTGAACTTTGAACCCCTATTTAAGATGTCAAAAGTCGTTTAGGCTAAAAGACTTTTGTACAAAGAGTGGCTATCTTAGGAGGTGCTGCCAGTCCCATGAAATACTGCATATTTAAAGATGTTTTTTAATTAATTTGATAATTTTTTAGAAAAGGTTCTCCGTAAGATACCCATATGATGTAAAAGATGTCATCATTAACAGGTATACACTCACCAACAATAACAACGTGGAAGTGAAGATCATAGACTACGGTGGTATAATCACCAAGGTGATGGTGCCGGATAACCAGGGGGTGCCAGGGGATATCGTGCTCGGCTTTGCTGACATCGAAGGTTGGTGTTTGTGTTCTGTACTGGTTAGCTTAATATTTATTTCAGTGCAGACGTACAGATATACAGACGTACAGATGTACAGATGTACAGAGGTACAGATGGACAGCAGTACAGATGTACAGAGGTACAGACATACAGATGTACAGTGGTACAGATGTAAAGATGTTCAAATGTACAGAGGTACAGGGGTACAGAGGTACAGATGTACAGGGGACCTCTGTACCTCTGTACCTCTGTACCTCTCTACCGCTGTATATCCGTACATCTGAACCACTGTACATCTGAACCACTGTACATCTGTACCACTGTACGTCTGTACCACTGTACATCTGTACCGCTGTACATCTGAACATCTGTACATCTGTACCACTGTACATCTGTACCACTGTACATCTGTATGTCTGTACCTGTGTACATCTGTACCTCTGTACATATGTACCTCTGTACATCTGTACATCTGTACCTCTGTACCGCTGTACATCTGTACATCTGTTCCTCTGTACCTCTGTACCTCTGTACTGCTGTACATCTGTACCCCTGTACATCTGTACCTCTGTACCCCTGTACCTCTGTACATTTGAACATCTGTGCATCTGTGCCACTGTACATCTGTACCACTGTACGTCTGTACCACTGTACATCTGTACATCTGTACATCTGTTCCTCTGTACATCTGTACCGCTGTCCATCTGAACATCTGTACATCTGTACTGCTGTACCGAGGTACAGAGGTACAGAGGTACAGAGGTACAGATATAATGATGAACAGAGGTACACATGTACAGAGGAACAGATGTACAGGGTACATCTGTACCTCTGTACCTCTGTACCTCGGTACAGCAGTACAGATGTACAGAGGTACAGAGGTACAGATGTACAGATGTACAGATGTACAGATGTACAGTGGTACAGATGTACAGTGGTACAGATGTACAGATGTTCAAATGTACAGAGGTACAGAGGTACAGAGGTACAGATGTACAGACGTACAAAGGTACAGAGGTACAGATGTACATACAAAAATATATTTTTTACTGGCGCCAATAAATATGAAGAAAGGGGGATGGGCTTATTACTGAACACCCACCCTGTGAACGGAAATTAAGGAAAAGTGGAGGGTGAGCTTATTAACAGGCTTGGGCTTATCAAAAAGACTGTAACTCATCATTGCCAAGCAATCTATCTAAAGTAGGGCTTTCAGTAAACCCTTGATATTCAGCTATATCAGAAGTCAAGTAATATTTTCCCTTGAAATTTGAGAGTATAAAAACGCTTATCAAATAGACATGTCCTCAAGAAAAACACTTTTAAGAGTCAACTAAAATCCTTGTAAACTTTTGATTGTGATAGGATAAAGGGAAAGCATTTATTGGCATGTGCTAATAACATTTCTGTGGAATTTGTATTTAATAAAAACTGGGGCTTCTAACTTCTACTTCTAAATGGTACTGACCAACTTCAACAATTTGAAGATAAAATGTCAGACGAGGAGTGAAACATGGAAAGAGATTGTTTTTAAAATATAAGAGATGGTCTAATTTGCATTTGAAAGGTGACGGTAGAGGGCTGATTTGAATAATTCCGTTGTGGGGCTCGAAATAATGTCAGGTGGGAGTTTATTCCAGTCAGGTATAGTTCGAGGGAAGAATGATGCCTTTCTGGTCTGGGTTTTTGAGTGGGGAATTTGATACGAAAACTGGTGGTTTGTTCGGGATTTTCTAACTGTACGGATTAATCTGTCTGATTTTACGATAGCGACTTTCTGGTTTACAATGTTATGAAGCATGGTCAGACGAGCATCTTTACGTCTTTCTGCTAGAGGGCGCAGGTTTAGGTGGTCCAACATTTCTGACACATTTGTTTCAGAAGAAGCTGTGAAACATTTATACGCATTATTACAAAGGTTTCACTCCAAAATATTTGGTACTAGAGGATATCAGTTTCACATTTTTCTCTCAAATTTTCATTTCATGAGTTCTTGTGATAAATAAAATGACATTTAAGTAATAGTTATAGCATGTTTTGGATGTATTCTTTGAATAGTTTATCATATTTTCTGAACTTATTAAAACTATTTTCTTTAAAAATTGAAACAACTTCCCAAAACAATGGCATTGATTTGAGATGAGCTATTTTCAACTTAAGTGGAATATATTTTTTATGATTTTTACAGGATACAAGACAAATGCTCCCTATCTTGGGGCTCTGATTGGTCGCTATGCCAACCGGATAGCCAATGGGACGTTTAGTATAGATGGCACCACTTACACCCTCGCCATCAACAATGGACCAAATGCTCTTCATGGCGGAACCAAAGGCTTTGACAAGGTACCTACATTTGAAGATATTTTGATTATACATTCACTTATCAGGAATGAAATGTGAAAGAAGGCGCCCACCAAGCAACTGACCACGCTCGCTTTTGCTAAACTACCAAGCGTGTCACAGGGTTATACAAAGATGTACTGCTCATCAGGAAAGGCTAGCTTGGCAGTTAGGTAGTTTTTTTCACAAATACTCTATGGCTTTTTAACTTATCTGACAGATTTGAAATAACTAACCCCATGTTTGATGCACATGCATTCTTACTGAAGGGCTTAAAGTCTTAAGATAAAAAGGCAAACTTTTATGCTGGTCTACCTGTAGCCCATCTTGTGTGGTATTTATTTGTACCTAATTTATAGTGAAAATCATATATGGGTTTAAGGCCCAAAATTTCTGATAATTTTACAGGATTTTTTACCCTTTTTGAAATCTAAAGCCTCAATTTTTTTTCAAAATAATGGATATGTTACAATTTTCATTACTTACATGACTCAACATTGAACACTTCCATTTGATTTTTAAAACCATATGTTTTTGCATCTCTGAAGGTGTTGTTAAACATTTGGTTGATAGTATATTTTCTCGCTAGCGTGTATGGCAGTCCAGTATATCCGAAGGGAAGTTGGTCCTGACTTATGTGAGTGCAGATATGGAAGAAGGCTACCCAGGGGAGGTAACTGCCACCGTCACATACCAACTTACCAATACAAATGAATTAATCATTGACTATAGTGCTGCCACGACCAAATCAACGGTCATCAACCTTACGAATCACGCCTACTTCAACCTCCAAGGGGAGGTAAGTTTGGTTATTTACATTTTCTGATGACCTTACCGTGTATCAAATTTCCTAATGTTTAAATTGCAAAAAGGTTAAAGAATTGAAAAATAAAATCTCACAAATTTTCAAAATAGCTACATAAAACCTGTCTAAACTGAACCCTTTATAGTTCAGAATACCTGTCCTTGCTGTATTTTTTACTGACTCTACCTTTCTATATTAATTGTAACTGTCTCAAACATCCTAAACAAAGGTTTATCACAGTATTGTGCTTATATTGTATTGAGCATCTATGATTAAATCAACCAATCTTTAAAATTCAATGATGAAACATTGTTTATGAAATTCTACATTTATACAAACTCTTGGAAGTTGTTTGCTTTGAATCAGGTAGGAAAATTATTGAAATGTTATTTCAATGTTGATGAACCGACATTGGGTAAGTTATGGAGATTTGTTACAGGGTTCAGGTGATGTGTTGGAACACTTAGCTCAGGTAAACGCTGACTCGTATCTACCTGTAGATGATACCTCAATTCCCACAGGTAAGCTTTTATCACATCACTGGAATTGAGGGATTTATTAAAATATTTAGTGATCATTGATGAAGCAATTTTTCAGTATCCAGTGTATCTACGCGTTTCCCATAAGGTGATAGTTGTATTCAGTCCTCCAATAGTACAAATTGAGACGACTATAGGGCTAGACCCCAATCGTCAGGCCATCAGTCATTTTGCGCATCACTTTGTCCTGGGCATATCTCGTACAATCTGTCACCTTGCAATTACCAGATTTTGAATCTAAGTGTCCTTTGGGATGGTAGTGTGTCACATACTATACACAGTTATGGTCCTTTGTTTACAGCGCATAATTTTTTCAATGGCATATTTCATATACTTTGGCACCTAATATTGCCAGATTTTGTACTCGAATATCTCTTTGGATTGTGGAACGTTGCATACTGGAATTGGGTCTTGATTTCCACAAAAAACAGAGTTATGACCCTTTGTTCATTTTAATACCCCTGTCAAATTTGACGGGAGTATTATGGTATGGGGTTGTCCGGCCGTCTGTCCGTCCGTCGTAAAGTTTTGTTTGTCCGGCAATCTCCTCCTACATTTTTTCGACCAATCTCTTTGAAACTTGGTATACATCATAATCATAAAATGAAGTTGTGTCTCCCTTAAATGAATTTTGATTCAACAATTTTTCCAAAAGTTATTGCCCTTTATTCATTTCAGTATTTGATTTTTGTCCGGCAATCTCCTCCAACATTTTTCGACTGATCTCTTTGAAACTTGGTATACATCATAATCATGCTATGAAGTTGTGTCTCCCTTAAAAGAATTTTGATTTGACAATTTTTGCAAAAGTTATTGCCCTTTGTTCATTTCAGTATTAGATTTTTGTCCGGCAATCTCCTACTACATTATTCAACACATCTCTTTGAAACTTGGTATACATTATAATCATGATATGAAGTTGTGTCTCCCTTAACAGAATTTTGATTCAACGATTTTTGCAAAAGTTATTGCCCTTTGTACATTTCAGTATATGGTTTTTTTCTTGAGATTTTCTCCTACATTTTTTATAGCATGTCAGCTTACCACTCTTAGAATAATGCAGATCTTATTTCAATGTAAGAAAGTATATAACACTATATGTCATTCGATGGTCGTATATTGTTCGCCCTGTGATACTCTTGTTGAAACTTGAGCACCTGAGGGCGACGATGTTTTATTACCTTGTCATGTGACCAGTATCATCCAATCAGACATGTTGTCGTAAAGATGATATATTTGTTTGTCTCCTTTGTCTTAAATCAGTGTCTGATTACTGAAAATGGCCTTCTGCCAATACATTGTACTTGACGTGTATTTTGCGGACCAGGTAATCAAGTTTGACATCATTCATTAACAGGTGTAATTACTCCAGTACAAGGAACAGTGATGGATCTGAGGACAAAACGTAAACTTGCTGATGTCATCGACCAGGTCCCTGGTGACCATGGTTACGACCACAACTACTGCTTCGGCAAGACAGGCTGGGTAAAAAACATGGCCAGGTACTTGTTTTACTTAAAATGTATGAGCAAAGACATATTTTCAAACCTGCTTCTTGTATGGAAAATTGATAAATCGTTTTAAGTACTATAAACTTTTTAATATGTATAATACTGTTTAACAGGATATTTCCCCAGGATGATATTTTCTTCGATTTTGCGGGCCAGTAATGTGTTCATGAAAATATGAATATGTTAGTGTATGCTTGAGCATAGGTACAAGCATACATGTATGCTACGCCACTGTTAACACTAGTGAAAATCTTATTATCAGGGTTCAGCTGTAAGTCCTGTACATGTAGGCCTCTTTACTTAAACTTATACTTGGGTTATGTAACGGTATTATCGCCAGGGTTGAAGATCCATCAAGTGGACGATACGTGGAGGCTCACAGTACAGAGCCTGGTATGCAGTTTTACACAGCCTATTGGAACAACGTCACTGGCAAGGGAGGTAAACACTACGGCCAGTACAGCGGGTTCTGCTTGGAGACGCAACACTACCCAGATAGCCCGAACAAGGTGAGTAAAGGATAGCTGTCGGAACTTGTTTGTTATATAGCTTCGAACCAAGGCTGGCTAACATATTCCTGTAATTTATTAACACACTGAAATTAAGAAGACAGCTTCTATTCTTTTCTACTAAATTTATGTTTTACAAGGCGTTCCAGTGATAAATGTTAAATTCTTTTATTAACTAGTTTATAAACCACATAAATTGCTGCGGAGTTGTCAATGAAGGATCCAAGTACCACCGCCCAAAAAGCTGTATAACTAAGAATTTCCAAGCATGACTATAACCTTAATAAATCATTTTTGAAAAGAAAACCATACCTTGTGGGACTTTTATGAAAAACAATAGAGATGAAATAAAAAAAACACAATCAACGAGAGTGTTCAAAGAGTAAAAATACTCAGCAGGGTTAGACTAAGACTTGAACCATGGAACTCAGATTGTTACTGTGAGTATAATACCTATGTAACCATGGAATTCAGATTGTTACTGTGAGTATAATACCTATGTAACCATGGAACTCAGATTGTTACTGTGAGTATAATACCTATGTAACCATGGAA